TATTTTAAATATTATGAAATATTTACCATAAATTTTGTAGTAAATGCTACGGAAATATTTAATAAGACATTATAATTCAAGTAAAAAATATTTATCACAATATTTATTTATATTTATTATAAATATTTAGTCTATCTTTTAATATTTCGAATAAAGCTTTATATAAAATATGTATAAAATATTTATATAACATTTCAAAAAATTAATAATAAATATTTATCATAAATATTCTGTGCTGTCTGGGATAAATTTCAATTCTAGTCTTACAGAGATTATATACAATATTTGGTTACATCCTTAAAACGATCTTGAAATAAGTATCAACTATGAATAGCGATCTATGTCTCACGATTTGTCATATTTATCTGAAACACCATTCTCTATACATCACGTAATCGTCTGATTAATGCTTTCTCTTGTGTGTTCCGCGAGAATAGTCTCCGAGTTCGCTCAGGAGTTGGGCGCTGCGATGGAGAGCCACTCGGCAAACGTACGACGTCTGGTTGACGAATTTCGCGGTCGATCGGGCGACTCAAGAATTGATGTCGGTGGTATGCGACGAGTTTGGGAAAGTTTGCTGCGGCAGGTTGAGGCGGATGCAGCTTCCCATCTCGATTTGGCCGCGGTGCTGCAGCAGCAATTATCGAGGCCCACTTTAGAGGCGAGCTTTCACCGAAAGCTGCAATCTAGAAAGGTGAGCTTATCTACGTGTTCTCCACGAATATTTTTTTCTATGCAAGTTTATGTAAGTTTTTAATACCTACGCTCATTTATTATATATTATTGTACAATAACTGAATTTGCGAATATTGTAATATTCATTTCAAAATAATTTCATTAGATGACACAACTCATTATATATGCGCTTACGATTCTTCTTTATCTCTCTAAGTATTCCTTTTACTGTGATAATGTATTAACGTCAGTATACCATTCTGCGAAATTGCAATTGCAATTTCAAACTATTTAAAGATGCTTCACTCGCGATAAGGCTCTCCTCTCGTTGCTCAGATGTCGAGATATCAGACAGAGGAGAGAAGTTCGCTGCAATTGACGAACGTAGCCAGTGAAGTTTCCCAAGCGATTCACTCGATTATTTGATTTCGACAGTACGCGAATGGCATTTCAATCGGACTGTGTTTGCTTTCGGAGCGCGTCATCTCATCCGATTTCTCACACCGTACGCGATCTACATCGTATATCGTGTTCTTCAGGTATTCGCCCATCGTGATGCTTACGAGCAGGTAGTTAGCAAGACGGAGGAGAAGTTGCAGCGTGCCAGATTAGATTACAAGCGCGCCTACGCCGCGTTGCTAACCAACGAGGCCGGCGGCGGCGCCGAGCAGGAATTGAAGCGCGCTTACTTAGAGTCGCACAACGCCTACATCCTCCAGCTACGCGCCACGAACGCTATTACTGAGCGCTATCAGTGCCATTGTTTGCCAGGGCTGCTGGGTGAGATTGCAGAGGTCTACGAGGAACTTTGTGGATTGGCCTGCAAATGCGTTGCCGGGATCTCGGACGCTGCCGGAGAGCGATCCGGCGAACAGGCCAAACGTTACCAGATTGTAGCCAAAGAGGCACAAGCGGTTATACCGTCTAACGATTTACAGGTATCACGAAAAGATTTTGCTCAAATACCTAAATCTAAAAATGTAGTTAAATACAGATCTGAAAATAATTTTGTTGAAGATTCAAAATAATATCACAAATTATAGAAATCAACCTTAAAAACTGGATCTTAAATGCTTCTATGATTCTGTGTGAATTTATACGCTACGTATGTAATCCTTTTTGAAACGCGCGCCGAAATGATTTTTCTATTAAACTACTGATGACTTGACTAGCAATTTTCACAATTTTTTAATGTTTTTTCGCATCTTCGAAATGATCTTAATTATGCTGAGTGACATATTAAAATCTGTAAATAATTAATTCTTATTGCGAAAAATATTACATATCAATCAAAATAATATTTAAGAAATTCAAGCATGGTAGACAATATTGCAAAAATTTTTGTTCTAGCAATCAACACGAACTACATTTATTTTGACATACAGATCAGCAAAATTATTTTTAGAACTATGTAACTAAATTTTTGGCAATTACTTCAGCAAAACTTTATTACTGTATAAAGAATTATCTTTTAGAAAAATCTTTTTATCCTAAAATCGTCAATTTTATTTGTACGGAAAAAATGGGTTTGAACTATCTAAAAATGTAACTAAATACAGAAAATAATTTTGGATTTCTGAAAACTAGGATCTGAAAATAATTTTGATACATCATTAAAATAAATGTGTGGGAAACAAAATTATCTTCATCAGATCTGTTATTTAGTTAAATTTTTAGATACTTCAACAAAACCTTCTTCCTACGTATATTCGCTTTTTGAAAACAATTATTCGTGAGACAATGAGGAAAACACATATATATTCATTCCAAAAAGTGATCTTATAGTTATAGCGAAAATTATCTAAGTACGAAAAATTAGCTAAAATAGATAAATTTCTAGTAAAATATTGAATATGCGATATTGAATATGCATTGCAGGTGTAATCATATAGATGACAGAGATATGTGGAATTTAAATTTGTGCTATAAATTCTATGCGTATGATACATAATTTTCTATCACATACAAAAAACAGCGATAATTCTAGCTGAAACAGCAAAATATTTTTTTGCGTGTGTGAGAAACATATACTTTCTTTTTTTTCTTCTTTTTTATTTCACTGTAATTTAAAGTGTTCCATCATGATAAAAAGAAAATATTTTTATTTTGTTGAAAGAAATAATACAAGAAACTTGTCATTATTTTTCATTAACTCGGGAATAGTCACCTAGGATATTTTTACACCAGTGGCAAAAAAAAGTTAAATACGATGTCATTCCAAATGTGTCCAATAATCTGTTGACGTATAAACGTTCTTCCTGTCGGTCCGATAATTCTCAAATATCTGAACCAATACCACTATATATTCATAATTGCACAAGAATGTTCACTCAATTTGATAAGGACCACTCCGAATGCGATCTGAAGTAATTGCGACAAGTTTTAATCTAACGACGCGTAAACAGATGATGAAAGATGATAAGAACATATGTAAATTATGTATCCAAAAAGATGGTTCCGTTGAGAATCGAAACGTTTAGAAGAATTTTGTAACAATATATTCTTTTTGCACCGATAACGTGCTCATTTAGCTCTTATATGAATTTATTATTGAATTTATCAGTTCACTGAGTTTTTAAAGTTTTTAAATTTTAATTTCAAATATAAAATATTGTTTTGAATGTATATTATTTAACATATTCATTTTCTTTCTTTTTTTAATAATTATTCTTTACGAATCTTTAAATATGCAACTCCATCGAAAATCCGCAAAAAAGTATTTATTTTTTTTAATACTATCATAATAAACTACTAATTAACGTGCTTATTCCATATTTATTTGGCTTCTATTCACTTTCTTCAGAAATTTATGAGTAAATCCATAATGTTCTCAAATAAATCGAATAAATCGAAAAATCAATATACAACAAATTAGTAATAATAATGATTTTAATTAAGATATAAAAACGCTCCAGGTAATCATTTATATAAAAAAAAGATCAAGTAACTATTCCCAAATTAAAGCAATATCTGTGGAACTTTTAAATTGGCAATTAGAGAAAAAGAAACACGCATTTATCTCTAACTTATTCCTCTTTCACGAGGTTAAATCTCTCAAATCGGTGAGCATCTACCGTGTCAATCTCGCGACTCGATACGTCAAGCGAAACCGATCGATCGTGCACAGATACGATTATTCCGGACATATTGATCACGCATAGCAAATAGACGTACCAAGCATATATCCAATTTCGGGGCGGTGAGGTGTCTGATGGTGGATTACGATCATCGGTATTCCGAGAAGAGAGACACAGAATGAAAACAGGGCTGCCTGATTAAAGCCGGTCATATTCACTGTGAGAGCATCTAGGATATTGGCTGCTCGAGATCGCCGCGTTGTGTGTGTACGTTTATTCCCGCATGTACATGTATGTACGGTGAGTTAACTTGTTCGACTGACCAAACGTGCTGATATTCACTGATTTGTCCTCCTTGAATTCATCGGTCGGATAACAGGCTCTCGTCAGAAATATCGGTTTGTCACTTAGGTCCGGATTTCATTGTTTGATTAATTTGTAGTTATTCTTAATCTCATTTAACTTAATGATAATATATAAAAATTATGTTTTTCTAGCTGTGATTAAGCATTAACTAACCGTTTTGTAGGTAAGTTTAAAAGTTACTCTCCAGACAATATGCAATATGTAGAAGACGTCTTTATGATATGATCTTTTAGATAGCTTTTAAATATACGTTTCAAAAGATGTCCTTATGACATTTTTTAGACATGTATGTTGTCTGGTCATTATTATCAGTTTAATGAGTATGTAATCACAATTAGAAAAATACAAATTTTATATTATCATCAGGTTAAGCTTAACTATAAGTTAACCAAAAAATGAAAAACTGGGCTTTAAACGCATATTCCTATCTACATCGCAAGAGACTATTAATCCAGAGACGATGACAGTGATACGATAAATACTTTTCTTCGAAATTTCATCTCGCGTATATCATCGTGTAGTTAAGGTCTTTAATTCGGGACGATTGATATATGATTTGCAATGAAAAAATATATTAAAGTTACATAATACATGTCTCACATAAATTTGCAAAATGTGCTACGTTGCATTATATCATTCTATTTTCAATTTACTCGGTTATTTCGCTCGCGAATGTATTTTATTCGATGGCGTTTTACTTTCTTTCATTTTTGCGTTCATCAGTTATAAGACGTAAATCAAATCGTCATAAATGGTAATGTAACGCAAATGTAACGTTATTTAAGGTCTTGGCGCGAAACCTATCCGCGAACGCGACGCCGCGGAAGCCGCCGCGACGCCTGTACGTCGCGCCAGCACCACCCGAGCAGATATCGATGGAGAGAATCAGTCAAATACCCACACTCAGGGACGAACTGGTACCAACGGGCACCAGTACACTCTCGCTCATGGAGGATCTTAAACATGAGTATGATAGTCTCAACCAGGAAATAGGTCGTTTGCAAGATGCTCTGGACGCTCTCGTGCGGATGCAGCGCAAGTACGTAGTTATTTTTAATGCAATCGTGTATTTGTAACTCTGCAAATAAGTGTAAAACGAGCGTACAACATCTCTCTCATGTCAGTCTGTAGCATAATTTTTCTAACACACATTGTCTGCCCAGCAATTTTTTTGTGGCGTGTACGCATAGTAAAATCTTTATCATTATTATATAAATATATGTATAATGAGAAATGTGTATGATTAAATATGATTAAATACTTTATTTTTATGAGTAGTATGAAATGTACAGTTTTTACTTGACGTTGTTCTAACTACTTACATTCATTTAAAATTTTATGTTAAATATTTGATTATGTTAAATGTTAGATATTTATT